CTAATCTAAAAACAATTATGTATTTGATTTCATTCGTCTTCTTAGTCTCACTTTACTTTACAAATTCATAAAATTAACTTTTTCGTAGAGTAAGGTGAATTTTCAAGTCTATGTATTTGTTTCTAACACGGTTATCCTAATAGAATTACACCAATTATAACAACCAACGACAAATTCTACGTTGGTATGTCACCCATACCAAAATCATCATTGTATGCTTTCAGCGAATAATTTAGAAGATCAACGATCTCTTATTTACACCAGCAGAAAATGCCGTAAGTAGGTACATAACCGAGCGCATGGCGCCATTTTCCATAAACAGCTTAAATTATAGTTTACCAATCATTTACTCCAAATCTTACCCAACAAAATTAACTAATTACCCCTGATCCTTCAATATTATTACGAACAATTACCCCGAATCTGCATAAACAGCTTAACAGTCTACTATGATCGACTCCTGGATCCGGGTCTCAAAACCACACGAACTTGCCTACTGCCAGCTTGAAAAGGTCAGCTTACTAAAACATTTTTTAGCATTTCTAAAACGTTTCAACACCCATTTTTCATGTATTTGCCCTACAATTAACAAATCATAATTATTTTGTATTGTCTGCAGACTGGATCAAGCACGTTGCTCACATTCCTCTTCGAAATCAACAACATGGAGACCTTGTATCCCCGTAACGATGACTTGCATCAGACATCATTGAATACTTTTAAAGTAGTAGGCCAGGAAGCCGTCGACATGGCTGAAAAATTTTTCGACATCGTACAAGTGCGCCACCCGTTCACCAGGTGATCACGAAACCCGTAACGTAAAAGAGAGTGTAAGAATATTTCATATTCAACATGTATAGATTAACTCTTCAGATTATATTGAGATTAATTTTTGATTAGCTCCCTATAAATCAAGTGACCATGTGGTATGTCTTGGTAATTTTAAATTTTGTTTTTTTATTGTCAATATTTAATCGGTTTAATCTGTGCACGAATATTCTATATGTATGCAAAATTCAATATTCTGCTTTAGAATTGTTCGCTACTGTAATACGCCTCGCACAGGTAAATTCATCACGGCTACAAGGGGAGTTTTATGTCAAGCATTAATTTGTCAGCTCCGTGGCAAAAGTTATGCAGGAGTTGGTTGCCCTTGACAGGTGTACTCGAGAAATTCAAAAAATTCGAGCTTCTCGACCTCATATTTCTCGAGTTTTCCACGTCTAATATGTGACAGCTGCATTACCATCAATTGAAATTTCGAAATAACACAATTTACTTTTTTTCTGAAGCTTACTTCAGCACTTGATTATAATATATTACTTCTACTCTTTATGTTTTAGAGGTTTGTAACATGTCACTTCAACAGGCCGGGGTTGAAACCTCTAAACGCTGTACAAAGTATCAGTAAAGTTTTATAATATTTGTTTGAATAATTTAGCTTCTACTTATCTGCTAAAGGTTGGTATCGTGTTACTGCGACAAGATTCTCGGAGAACGTCCGCCATTCCTGAAAAAGTTCACCGAGTTCCGTAGTCATCGGAACCAAACTGCAGAAGACATGGTGAGAGAACAACTCCCGAGCTACCGCTTCTTGTCCGATGCCAATAAAGGGACAAAAACGGATCAGTGGAAATTCCAGCTTTTCCTGAAAATTATCCCAGCTCCCGGCAAGGAAGAATATCTGGCTCGGGAATCAAGGATCAAAGACCCAGAACCTTTAGGTGAAACTCCGACATTCCGAGACTTCGTCATGGAGGCCGCATACCAAATTCTGCGATGCGGGGACAATCAGGACTGCAGGAAGGAGGTTAATGCGAGCTATGGACGACAAATTGATAAATGCGACCCATGCTCATGGAATTTTGATCTGCTCATGAAGGTAACTGTGCCATATTCTGTTATTAATTTCTTTAAGAATTTTGACGTAAATTTTGTAATTTGACATATGAATTAATTGATTCAAATCCGTAACCATACCTGGAATAAAAAATCTTGTAGATAAAGCATAAATAGGCTAACCATTTTATTTTTAAATACAACTTGCCAAGTTGATGGCAGCGTTAAAAGGTCAAATGTTCACGAAAATAAATTTCGTATCTTCGAGTAAAAAAAATCAACCAAAGTTTTCTTTGTTCGCAGTTAGAGACGATCGACGAGGACTTCCCGCTGCTCCGAAAGCTGTTAGGCCACAACAAGCCTAAGGCCGTAGATGAATCAGGCAGCAGCAGTTCCAACGAAGAGCGAGTTGTCCACAGGAAGATATCTGCGTGTAGATCTTATGATGAATACATGCGGCAGCTCTCCAGTGGAGAACTCGACCTGATCTACACCGCCTACTACGAGGACTTTGAAGTCTTTGGCTACGAGCCTTTCAATGTTGATATAAATTAATAATAGAATTTTGAAATAAATCCTAATTATGTGACAAGTTGGAAAATTCTTCACGTGCAAGGAAATTCTTCGTTTCATGGGCATTTGCAAATACCGAACAAAACAATGTTTTCATTTTTTTGTTAAAAAACCTCTTAGCCAAATTAACGTAACATCAGATATCCCTTTTTCGCTTGTAAAACATTTAGGTTAATTTTAATTCATTCTTCTGGTTTCATCTTATAGTTTTAAAGTCCTCTAAACTGGTGCTGCGACAAATCCAAATTAGATCAACATTCTCGCTGACATTTTGACTTCCCGCTGTAAAACTGACGTGAACTGACACCGTTTTTGTATCGGTATTCCAAGGCAACCTTGCACTCGTTAAATAAGCGATAGTTTGTAATAGGTATACAAACTCACCAGCTGAGCTATATGAGCAAATGATAAAATGTATCAATATAGCCACTCATAAAAATTAGTTTAACTTTGTCCAAATTTCGAATCACTTTTTACACCTTGCGAGGTACCCAATTTGGCTTGGCATATACTGGCGTTCGCTCTCCTGCAGCTCGTGCTGTGTCTAAGAAATTGTGTCATTGTTTGGACAATAATACCCGTTGATTTCCCTGGGTGCATGTGGCGCAGCTGGTGTTTGATCAGTGAAGATCACACGAATTATGAAAATTCGTGGACTTGATTGAACAGTAACTCGCATTCGACTATTTCGTTAGAGATTTCAACTACGTATATAACAGTGGCATACTAACAGCACCTAAGTGAATCTGTTTACCTGTTGATATCAATTTTATCCCAATTGAATTTTTAATCGTCTCACGCACAATATAATTCGTTTACACGCCACATTGTTTGTCTTCTCTTTGGTCGCAAATTGGCGCTCGTGATTATACTTCATTAAGGAATTATATGATTATATATATATATATATATTTATAGTTCATTTATCTGCTAAAAGGTAATAATAACTGATCAGTATAATACGGTTATCAAACAGCTTATATATGTTATCTTGAGAAAATGGGGGGATACAAATAAGAAATAATTCAATTCTTGGGTGATTTATTCGTTTGGAACTCAGAGACTCAAAAGTTCAAATGTTGACGGCGAGCGTTATGAGAAGCTAGAAAAACTAAAGGTGAATCACAATTCCTCACGAACAATGAAGTGTGCGATGTTATAAAAAATTTTTGGACTAGAAAGTTTTTAATATATTCGCAAATCTACACATAATCATATTTTCATCTATGTATGAAACTACGAAAAATTTTAAACGAAAATTTTAATTCCGTTTCTGTGAATATATTTCATTTTATTTTCAGATGATTGATTTCTGATTATTTGATATTTAAAAATGTTTCATCTTTTAGAAAAATTTCAAAATTTCTGCTTATAACTTCTGAAAACATCAAGTCATCTTAATTTAAATAGAATCCATTTCATAATAAAATCAAAAATCAAATTTTTCCTACAGATATTAGCGACCGAATAAGCATGAAACTAAATTTCGGTCCTCCGTATTGCTGAAAAATCACGTATACGGGTTCTCATGTGATAGCTTATTTCATAGCTCATTTGATTCAATATCGATCAAATTGTTAAGATCACGCACCGTAATGATTTTTATTATGTAAAATGTTATAATTATACATAAAACACTGTTACTTGCATTTTTCAAGCATAACATACAACAAAATGCCAGTTTACTTAAAGTTGAATTTAAGTCATTCTCAGATTTCTGAAAGTTTTGAACAGTTCTGAGTGCAAAACCAATTCATTTAATTTGCAGTTACTTTATAAGTGCATTCTGAAGATGTTAATTTTGATTAATTAAAGACTTGTGGCGTTATGAGCTCATATTTTATCTGCCACATGTTATTGGAATCGCGTGAATTACGTCATTTGATTATCTAACAATTTCTTGACTAGACCCTTCATTTTCTCGCTTACAATAAATATCCAATATTCAGCATCTAATCCTTTCAAAATCATTAGAAATTACCTATATTTCCATCAAAATTTTACGTGTAACGTTGGTAACGCGAAACCAAATTCAATTATGAACTCTTGAAAATTTTAAAGTGATTATTAATCAGGTTGAAGACCAGAGATTGGGCTATATAGAATGACTAGAATGGCACTCTTATCAGAGCAATGAACACCTGTGAATCGTGAAAATTTTCATTGCTATATATAATGAAACTTTAGAGGTTCACTGTGCAGTCTGAATTCACACTAACAGTAGTCACGGACCTCGCAGTGTTGTTTTTTGTGAGAGGTTAATTGTTCATAACTTCATATGCTGTTGCTGTTGTAAGGGAATCTCCGTTTGTGAATATTCATTTGAAGTTTAAGTTATTTGACTTAAAATCTCGCAAACAGCCCTATGGGTACAGCCTCTAACAGCACCCCCATGGGTACATTAGCAGCCCCATGTACACGTTCATTCAAATCTTTATATTATCGTGATGAATTTTTTATAACTATGCACTAATGAATTGTTTTGTACATATTATTGCTCAGTGTAAATTTTATTAATTATGAGAGGAAAATGAATTTTCGCAAAAGGACTAAACATTTATGGCAAATTCGACTCTTTGGCAGACAGGAAAACTGTGAAATATGAATGAGAAAACACGAAAAATAAGTATAGAGTATACAAACTTTGCACTTCATATAACACTTTTTTCTACAGTGCTTTATTCCCCAAGCCGTTTGCCATACGTATAGGTCCACTTGTTTAATCAGGGAATTATCATGAAATTTGAAATGCTATAGCCTTTGATGACTGAAAGGTACTAGATAGATATTTTTTTTAATTAGTTGAGAATTTTTACTTATTAATAAGTTGCTCATCCGCATCGAGTCCGCAATTCAGAAACAATATGGCACGAGTTTTCTTCATCAAGCGCATTGTGAANGCTTGTCTCCAAGAGACCAAGCTATCAGCTGCATCCCGCCCCCCCTCTTTTGCCGGATACGCGCTGGAGCGCAGGGACCGCCCCGGTGGTCACGGTGGCGGTCTCCTCATCCTGATTCGCCAAGCTGTCCCGTACACCGGGCAAGACATCTCTCCCCTCCTACGCAGCGACACCACCATGGAGGCTATAGCTATCTCCACTCCTCTTAATGGTTCCCCTTCTGCATCATCAATGTTTATATCCCACCGGCCTCCTCCTGCCCCCCGGGATATTCCCCGGAAATTTCTGACATAGTCTCCATACCGGGCGACTAGTTGGCGATTTTAACCCGGTATGGAGATAGTTGGCGATTTTATCGCCCATCATCCTTCCTGGTTCTCCCACACGGATGACCAGAGAGCCATGACCAGAGAGCAAACTGATTAATAAGACCACTATGTCCGGTCGTCCATCGTATTATTTACAGGAGCTAAATTCCATTGCTGCGAAGGTCGGCGTTAGTGACGACCTGGTACGTCATCAGTTCATACAAGCTCTTCCCCCAGCTATCTCTCCTGTACTTGCTGCTCAGCGTGAACTAACCCTACAACAGTTAGGTACTCTGGCTGACGAACTTTCACCACTGTTGAACAATAAAGTCCTGCTAGTCAGCAGTCAACCAACTAAACGGTCCCAATCTCCTAGATCCTCGAGGCAACCGCATAGTTTTCAGTCATCGCATATTCCAATTGGATTCCAATTTCTGATTACTTGATATTTAAAAATGTCTCATCTTTAAAAAAATAAAAAATTTTTGCTTACAGCTTCTAAAAACATCAAGTCATCTTAATTTAAATCGAACCCATTTCATAATAAACTCAAAAATCCAGAATTTTTCCTACAGATATTAGCGACCGAATAAGCATGAAACTTTCGGTCCTCCGTATTGCTGAAAAATCACGTATACGGCCGGGTTCTCATGTGATAGATTATTTCATTGCCAATTTGATTCAATATCGATCAAATTGTTAAGAGCACGCACCGTAATGATTTTCATTACGTAAAATGTTATGATTATACATAAAACACTTTTACTTGCATTTTTCATGCACAACAAACAACAAAATGCCCATTTACTTAAAGTTGACTTGAAGATATTCTCAGATTTCTGAAAGTTTTGAACAGTTCTGCGTGCAAAACCAATTCATTTGATTTGCAGTTACTTTATAAGTGCATTCTGAAGTTGTTAACTTTGATTAATTAAAGACTTAAGTTTAAGTTATTTGACTAAAAATCTCGTAAAAAGCCCTATGGACACACCCCGAATCTTGTGACTAGCCCCATGTACACGTTCACTCAAGTCTTTATATTGTCGTGATGAATTTTTTATAACTGTGCAATAATGAATTGTTTTGTACATATTATTGTTCAGTCTAAATTTTATTAATTATGAGAGGAAAATTGGTTTTCGTAAATGGACTGAACATTTTCAGCAAATTCGACTCTCTGACAGACAGGAAAACTGTGAAAAGTGAATGAGAAAACACGAAAAATAGGTATAGAGTATACAAACTTTGCACTTCATTTAACATTCATTTACACTTTTTTTCTACTGTGCTTTACTCCAAAAGCCGTTTGCCATACGTATAGGTCCACTTGTTTAAACATGGACGCTTCTCTTAATTTGATATGTTATAGCCTTTAATGACTGAAAGGTACTAGATAGATATTTTTTTAATTAGTTGATGATTTTTACTTATCAATAAGTTGCTCATCCGCATCGAGTCCACAATTTAGAAACAATATGGCACGTTTGACACACCATTTGATAGCTAAACATTCCTGCTCTATGACAGAGTAATTCTGTTCAGCCTTATTGAGTTTGCGGCTCATGAATGCTATTGGCCTAAATTTCCCATCAATTTCCTGTCCCAAAACTCCTGCAATACCTAGCTTGCTTGCATCAGTCTGAAGAATGAACGTCAAATCAGGCCTAGGTATCGCTAATGCCACGTCCGCGGTCAACAATTCAACGGCTTCTCTAAAGCACAGAGTTGATTCGATGGTCCACTGCAATACATCGAGCTCTGACTTGCACAACATTTTCGTCAGGCTAGCAATATGGTGTGATAGATGCGGTAAAAAGCGCCTATAGAAATTCAAAAGGCCCAAAAATGATCTTAATTCCTTTTTCCTATCTGGCATCGGAAATTTCCGGACAGCTTCTACCTTAGCCGGATCTGGCTTTATTTCACCATTGCCCACGACGAAACCCAAAAATTTCACCTTCGTCTGTCCAAAAACACATTTTGCAATATTTAACGTTATTCCTGCCGCCTTTAGCTTTCGCAAAACACTCTGGACATGAACTAAATGAGATTCAAAATCGCTACTGAAAATTACTAAGTCATCTACGAAACTAGTTACAAATTTAGAACAGTCTCCTAATATTTCTTTCAATACACGGTTACACAGACCACTAGCAAATCTAATTCCAAAAGGTACACAATTAAATTCAAATTGTCCGAACTCCGTAACAAATGATGTAAACTGCTTAGACGTCTCTTCCAACGGCATTTGGAAGTACGCTTTCGTTAAATCTAATTTAGAAAGAAATTTTGCTTCGCTGAGTTTTTCAATGACGGCCTCTCGCTCTGGCATCGGATAGTTGTCAACGTAACATGAGTCGCAATGAACCATCAGCATTGCGCACCACCACCATCGGAGACGCCCACTCACTGGTTGACTTTCTAATGATGCCCTGGCGTTGCCATTTCTCCAACTCTTCCTGAACTTGAGCTTTGAGATGAAACGGCACCTTATAAGGAAGTGTCCTTATCGGCTTCTCTGTATCTACAGAAATACGATATTTCAGGCCAACAATCTGTCCAGGAATTGAACTAAACACAGTTTTCCCTTCGTCTAGAAGAATTTGAATCTGTGCTTTCTGTTCCAGTGTCAATTCATTAGATATGTTAGGTTCCAAGCCAACAGTAGTTTCAGCTAATTGACTGACCTCCACTTTTCCCACTTGGCTCGGCACTTCACGAGTTCGGAATGGCTTGAGCATATTTATGTGGTAAGTACGCTCATTCGATCCAACTCGAATGACGTAGTCGACTTTGTTGAGCTTTCTCACCACAACAAACGGCCCTTTCCACTCAGCTTGGAGTTTATTGGTAGACATTGGTAGCAGTAGCAACACTTCATCACCAACCTTAAAAGTTCGCTTGCGACAGGTTCGGTCATAATAGAACTTCTCTTTCTTCTTACTTCTTTGCTCATTGTCGTTTGCTAGTTTCATGAACTCTTTCACTCTTTGCCTCATCNCACGTCGGAGGACAAGACGGCACACGTCG